TATTCTTTGGTTTCCAGCGGCCGAAAGAAACTGGAAAGCTTAGGGAAATAACTAAGCCAATGAGCCTTCTCTCTGACTCTTAAACACCACATTCATTTTGCTCAAACTTAAGGAAACACGAGAAGCAAAGCAAATATGCACCTTTGGGTTTGGATCAACTGTGCTGCGAAGCTTTAAGCCATGAAGGAAAGTGTGTGTGTGTGTGTGTGTGTGTGTGTGTGTGTGTGTGTGTGTGTGTAAGCAACAACCAAAAAAGTAGATGTCAGCAGTTCTTAACTGTAACTATAACCTTGTGCCTGTGTGGCTGTGAGCCCAAGGGAGGAGCGAGGGGCTGGGAGGGAATGGCTGGAGCCTCCCCTGCTCTGGAAAGCTCGTGGCTTTGTGTTCTTCACTCTGCTGCCCGGCATGGTTGCACTGAGGAGGCAGGAGGCCAGGCAGGGAAAGGAGGATGTTTGGGTTTGCAGGCTGTCCGGTACTGTCAGCAAGTTTGCCGCCCTGGCTTCACTTCCCTGAAGTGTGTGTGTGTGTGTGTGTGTGTGTGTGTGTGTGTATGTGTGTGTATGGGGGGTAGGGAGCTGAAGGTGGTCAGCTGGCCTCTCTCCACAGAGGATTCAAATACTCCATCAGTTGCAAGGCTCCGACTACCCAGCTGAAAAGGGACAGTTAAAAAAATAACTGCCCAAAGAAAACAGAGGGAACAACCACAACAGAAACAGCGCTGTTTCCTTATAATTATGGAGTGGCCACCGGAGCTCTGGCTGGAGTCCCCGCCCCCTCCCAGTTGCCCACACAGGCCTTGTCTATGCCCTCGCCCTCCCTGGCCTGAGCTGCACCTCCCTGAACTCCAGCCTCTCTCCAGCCCCCTCCCTGGAGATCAGGGAGAGGCCAGCTTGCAGACTGTTTTGAGAATGGAGGTTGGGGATCATCAGACAAGAAGACCCTGAAGAGCTCATATATTAGGACTCCTAACAGAGAAGTACACTCAGCTTCAATGCCCAAAGGCAGGGAGCAAGTTTGAGGCAGAACTGGTCTCCTTATTCTTTTTTTTTTTTTTAATTGATTTTTTTTATAGAGAGAAAGGGAGAGGGATAAAGAGCTAGAAACATCAATGAGAGAGAAACATTGGTCAGCTGCCTCCTGCACACCCCCCAATGGGGACATGCCAGCAACCAAGGTACATGCCCTTGATCGTAATCCAACCTGGGACCTTTCAGTCCGCAGGCGGATACTCTAGCCACTGAGCCAAACCGGTTTCAACTGGTCTCCTTATTCTTAACTGACTACTCTTCCCAGATTATGACACACTGTTATGAGGGACTAAAAATAGAGCAAGAAAACTTTAAACTTCTTCTCAACCTTTTTTCCTAACCAAATCCTACCCTGTTGACCTTTAGAGCTATGTAGAAAAGCATATTTTTGCACTTATTTATTTTTAAAATATTTTTTTATTTCAGAGAGAAGAAGAGAGACGGGGAGAGAGAAATATCAAGGATGAGAGAGAATCATTGATTGGCTGCCTCCTCCACATCCCCTACTGGGGATGGAGCCCACAAGCGAACATGTGCCCTGGTTCACTAGTCAACACTCAACCACGGAGACACACTGGCCCGGCAGCATATTTTGCATTTAGACTTGTGTAATAGCACCTTCAGTGTTAGAGTTACCTATCTGCCCCTGCAGGCAGCAGTGTGAGGCCAGCAGCCCAGCAGAGTGGGCAGAGCAAGGGCTTTCGAGTCCGCAGAACTCTGGTTCCGCACCTTCTTGCTCTGTAAACTTGTACAAACAAATGATCTGCTCTCTCTATGACTCCGTTTCCATGTCTGCCAAGTGGGAACCATCGTAGCATCGACTTCATCCTAGTGTCATGAAGATTTCATGAGATGACACATGTGATGCCCAGTGAAAAACTCAACTAACGTTAGAAATTGTGATGCCTCCTGGAAGGCATTTATTGTTCCCTGTTTGCAGATGAGAAAATGAAGGCTCAGAGAGGTTAAAGGGCAGTAGTCACACAACTGATTAGTAAGAGAAGCAGGATTCAGCTCGGCCTCCCGGCTCCACATCAAGGGCCCTTGCCTCACCGTTCTTGAGTGTAGATGTTGAACGTGGCTCTGGGCCATGGGTCAGAAATGTCTGCCGCCAGCATCATGAAAGGCCATGTTATTGATTAAGCTCAAGGTCTTGGGAACTGGATGCTTCAGGGTTGAGGTAGGAGCTTATTGCTGTCTTTTTATAAGGCAGTCTTTGCACAGACACCAGCCTAGGAAATGAAGCCGGGCACTCGTCTCTGGCCCTGAGCCCAGGGGAGCTAGGCTCAGGACGAGGTCAGAAGTCCTTTCATTTTCTCAACTTCCCTTTCCTTTGGCAACGCTTCCTTGATGCTCGAAGATTGCTTTGCTTACCCTGCCGTTATAGCCCTTTTCACACTTTCTTGGATTATAGTATTTGGGGGTATCCATCTGATTCCCCTGTTGGAATAATGGGCTCCAAAGTGGGATGCCCAAGATGATACACTGAGGGGTGGGAAGAAAAATATGTGAACACTTGTTCCTTTTTATTCTTTACTAGAGGCTCAGTGCACAAAATTCAGTGGAGGGGTCCATATTCCAGACCTGTACCTACTTACAATCCGGGACCCCTTGGGACTGTAGGTTTAAACATCCCTCTTGCAATCAGGGACCGCTGGCTCCTAATTGATCGCCTGCCTGCCTGCCTGCCTGTCTGCCTGATTGCCCCTAACCACTCTGCCTGCCTGATCACCCTTAACCACTCACTTGCCTATCTGATCACCCCTAACCACTTTCCTGCCTGCCTGATCGCCCCTAACTGCTTGTCTGCCTGCATGATCACCTCTAACTGCTTGCCTCAGCCCCCGCCCCAGCAGCTTCATTCAGGATGACATGGGGAATGTCATTAGGCTGTCTAGTCTAATTAGCTTATCATGCTTTTATTATTATAGGTACTAAAATATTAGGAAAGTTAAGCTTTACCAATATCTAAAAATTAGTACAGTAGAGCACATATAATTTATAATAAATATGCAATTGTTGGGAGTGCATGCAAAAATTTTTTTTTTAATTCTCACCTTCCTTTGATTTTTAGAGAGTGGAAGAGAGAGGGAAGACAGAGAGAAATATCTATGTGAGAGAAAGATCGATTAGTTGCCTTCTGCACATGAGCCGACCAGGGCCCTTCAACCTCGGTTATTATCGTTGACCGGAATTGAACATGGATCCTTTGGTCCACAGGCCAATGCTCTATCCACTGAGCAAAACCAATTAGGACCATACTAAAAAAAATTTTTTGATGGAGTGTAATGATGAAAAGAGTTTGGAGGTAGTTCGACAGGAAGCTGCTAAAGAGCAAGAGATATATCTTGTTCCCTCCCCCATCCTCATTATCTAGCACTTAATGACTGTTCCCCAAAGAAATTAATTTGGCATCGATCTGAACTTGGTTGTCTCCCCCCCCCCCTTTTATTATCCATCTGATATGGTACTGTCCTGTTCAGTATCCTGCCAAGACCTGAGCAAATAATAAAGCTGTGTTTGAGTAATAAAGAGTGCAAAGTGCCAGGATGAAAAGTTTAAGACCGATGTTCCCAAAATGAGTTCACGGCCGTTAATGAGGTGCAGGGCAGGCAAGAGTAAAACCTCACGGGAGAGCTCATGGGCACAGAGCCAGGCGCGGGGTACCAGCCCTGCCATCTGAGGAATCGTGTGGTTTGAGCAACTGAATATTTTCAAAGTGAGCACTGCCCTTCCTCTTCCTCTTCCTCTCAAAGCAACCGGAGGTAGCACAACACAGTGAGTGAACAAGGGTCTTGGAGAAAGAAAGCCCAGCTTTGGCACTCTCCCTGGCTGGGGGATATTAGGCAAGGCCCCTGACCAAGTCCTCCCCTTCTCCCAGGAAAACAGCTGTTGGCCTACCGTTGAGGCTGGACTGGATGATGGTGGAGATCCTTTCATGCTCTGAAGCAGTCCTGAATGTAGAAGTTGGTATTTTTCTACAAAAAGGAATTTACACTTTCAGGGGCGCCATGAGGCCAACTGAACCAAAAATACCACTTTACCCTTAAGCCTTTCAAGGAGTGTGACTTCCCCTCCTCAGACACTGTATCTCCATGCGCAGCTTACCAACCCGTCAGTAACTTATTGGCATACAGCCACTTCCAGTCTCAGTTATGTCCATTTTGCATGGAGGGTGAGACAGCAAGTTATAAAAGATTATACACACGTTACCTATATCTAGAAATAAATATAAAAATATATGTGTATATACACAGAAGAAGAGCTTAGAGATACCTACCATACTTTTAACATTGATGATTCCTAAGGAATAGGAAAAGTGGAGATGAGGGTAGGGACTTTACTATTTATTTTCAATTCTTCTATAATGTTTGCTTATTTTTAATAACTAAGCTATTTTGTTAATGAAAATTAAAAAAATTTTTAAGTGAAACTAGACCACCAACTTACGCCATACATAAGAATAAATTCAAAAGGACACAGACACTAGGAGGGTGAGGGCATGAGTGGGGGTATGTGGGGCAACAGGGAGATAAGGATATATATGTAATACCTTAATCAATAAAGAAAAAAAAAGAATAAACTCAAAATGGATAAAAGACTTAAATGTATTTAAGAAAAAAAATAAGCAAGTCTCCTTCCCTTTCTTGACCTCTTATTTTCCCAGTTCCCCTCTCTGGAGGTAGCCATAATTGTTAGTTTCTTTTGTCTCCTTCCAGAGACATTCTGTGTGTATGTAAGTATATCTATGTATATCTATGTAACACTTGAAAAACCACCAAACACAGAAATGGGGTCATTCATAGACATTTGATTCATATCTTTCTATTAAATGTGACAATACATGTTGACATAATTTAAAGGTACCTCATGTCTTTTTAGTGGCTGCCTAGTATTCCATACAGTCTATAGAATGAATACCTACAATGTATGCAGTCAGTGTAATACTGCAAATGGTTGGGTTGCTTACAGTTTTTATGACTACAAATTAGGTTATCATATTTATCCGTGTAAATATGTCTTAAATATCTTAATGCCCAGCATATTCACAAGATAAATTTCTGGTGATCAAGTTGCTAGGTCAAAAGGTATAACTTTTTAACTTTGACCTTTGGTGCCAAACTGAAGTACAAAGAAACTGCCCCAATTTTCAAATTCACACACACAAAAAAAAATGTTTTAGATTTCCTACCTCCCCATTATCCTCACCTCACCAGTAGGCATTATCAGATTTTTATAATATTGCCATTCTGATAGGTTAAGAACGATTTCTCATTGTTTGAATGCTCATTCTTAAAACCATGAGTGAGGTGGAGAGTGTTTTCCTTACATTTAAAAGCCATTTGTTGGACACAACTAAGCCATAGTAGTCAGGGATGCCACTTGGTTGGTTAAAACCTCAAACTTAGAAGGAAGTGATTTCTACAGAAGTCAGGATGGTGGTTACTCTCAGGGGGGAGGGAGGCAGTTATGATCACCACAGAGCACATGGAGGGCCTCTAGCATGGCTGACCAAGTTCTATTTCTTGTTCTGAGTGAAAATGTGCTTACTATATAACATTTGTTTTGTTTGGTTGTCTGTATATTTTTTGTTGTGTTTTTGTTTTATTTTATAATAAAAAGTGGCTTTAAAATTTAAAAATAAAAAAAGCCATTTGAATGGATTGACCCATGTGTTCTATTTATGTCCATGCCTATTGTTTTCTATTAGACTTTGTTTTTAATCCTTTCAGAAGAACTCCATAGTTTAAGGAAACCAGCCGTTTTTCTATTAGTTGGAAATAGCTTTCCCATTTGTTTTTGGCGTCCTGGTTTTCTTTTCTTTTTGCTTTTTTGACTCACAGCAATCTTGCATTTTTATGGAGTCAAATTTGTCCATATTTTTGCTTATGGCTTCTGAATTTGCTTAGGAAGGCTTTTGCTTGGGAAGCATCTCGTGGTCTCAACATTGCAGCTGCTAACTTAGAAAACAACACTCGAGATTTCTGGTTCAGGACCACAGATTAAACACATGCACTGTGCTCCACTCCCTCCTAGGGCTCGACCAAAAGTTAATGTTTGATGAAGTAAATACATTCACATGGTTCTAAGGAAAAAAAAAAAAAAAAAGCAAAAAGGCACAGAACAAAAGTATCCCTCATCCGTGTCTCCCATTGGCCCAGGTCCCACCTTCTGCCTGCCCATAAGTAAGTGCTGTTACCAGTCTCTTGGGTCTGTGTAGCCAGAGTTTCTCAAGAGGCCTGGGAAAGCAGAATTCTAAGCCAGCAGATGAAAAAGCTCAAGCAACTCACTTTACACTTCAGAATGCACCATGTACTCCACCATTGGTGGCCCCAGCCAGGTGCTTTGTGAGCATTTTGTAAGTAAAGTTGTGCTTAAAAACAGTAGGATGAATTGAAAGTCCATTCAAGGGGCATCGAGGTCCTCAGACCCCCAGTTCCCTTTGCTGCTCTCAGGTGGACTGCTCCTGCCCCACCAAACCCAAAGAAAGATGGTTTTTCTTCTGGTGGGAGAGTAAGACAGAAGGAGGACCAGGCAGAGATGTGTGAAAGGACAACATACGGGGGCCGGGGGTGGAGGGGAGAGAGATTACCTAGAGACCCCCTGCCTTCTCTCCTTATGTAGGTAGTGCAACCCTGGCATCCAACCAGGAGATTATACAAGTTTTCTCTGGGAACCTGACACACCGGAGAGAAACGCCCTAAAGATCATCTGACAACAGCAACCTCTCTGAGAGAAAAAGAAAATAAAAATTATTAATAGCCTCATAGAGATAAGAAGGAATTGTACACACATAAAATAAAAACAGAACACTATTTAGGGAACAAAAAAGAGGTCTTAGAAATGTAGATATGATTGCAAAAAATAAAAAATAAACTCAGTAGGAGATTTGAAAAGCAGAGAATAAAGTATAAAGATAAGAGATGAAACACAGATGTAAGCGCACAAGTGGTGTTTTTGGGAGGTGATCCCGGGAAACACCTGTAAGGCAGTGGGAAGTGAAACAAGGAAGCCAATAAACCCAGTAAGTATGATAACTGTGAACAACTGGGACTTGATTCCTTTGGGGAATTCTGGAGACCAGTGTAGAAATCGTGCCTCAAAATTATCCCGTCAGGGCTGAGGAAACTGGGGTATTTATCTGCTAACTCTTATCAGTCATTGGGTAACGGCTGTTCCCAGGGAGAAGGGGGTTAATTCCCTAAGATTTTGTGAGTAAAACTTTCAGTGGCCAGAAAAAGCCCTCAGGCAAAGAGACATTTATGCTGATAATTTAAAATGCATGGATGTGGTAGGCGCCAAGAGATTATGGACAGGGCATTGATGGCATCTGTTATATCTTCCTAGAAATATACTCTTTCTTAGAAAATTACTGAAAGATGTGCTCCACCAAAACAATGGAGTGAACCAAGAACAAGGAAGAGATGGAATGCAAGGACCAGATTAGTCAACATAACAGGTGAAGGGAATCCCCAGGATGTGATTAAGGGAGATTCCAAGGTGACAGCTGTACTGTGTGGAATTGACACAGAGAGATTAAAAGGAAAAATAAACAAACAAATTTTAATATGTGTGCATGGAGAATTCACATATTCATGAAAATTCCAAAGACAGTGATTCAACATTGGATATATAAGACATTTTGGACAAAGGAAAAAAAGGGGGAGGGGGAAGATCGGGTATTGGGTGTTAGACGTGAGAGTGGGCAGTTTACAAGTAGTTGAGAAGCATACATGGCAGGAAAATGCTCCTAGGCAACCCAGAAACAATGGGACCACTGGGTGACTAGCTAACAGGCTTGGAGTTTTCCTGACTAAGGCTAGGGTGGAGATGCTTAATGTGATTAAGCCAAGGGTCTCTCCAAAAGCAGGTTTTCTGCCTGAAGCTCTTGGGTCTGAAACAAGATTCCTTCTGAGCTTTGTTTCTTTCTTTTTCTTTCTTTCTTTCTTTTTTTTTTTTTTTTTTTTTTTTTAATATAGAGAGAGATTGATTTCAGAGAGGAAGGAAAAGGGAGAGAGATATTAGAAACATCAATGATGAGAATCATTAATCAGCTGCCTCCTACACGCTCCTAACAGGACTGAATCCACAACCCAGACATATGCCCTGACCAAGAATTGAACCCTGACTTCCTCAGTTCAGAGACCCATGCTCCACCACTGAGCAACACCAGATAGGCGAATCTTGTTTCTTAATAAACAGCTTACAATGAATGTCCCAAAGGCAGCTTTAGAATGGCAAAACATTGGTTCCCTTCAAAAGCAAGCCTAGAGATCAATTAGCCCAGGTAGGAACAGATCAGAAGGAGCGATAGGGAGGGATTCAATCAGTGGCACACGCAGAGGAAAATCTAGGCAAGTGAAAATGACACAATTATTAACTCTGAAGAAAGCGAAATGTTATTCAGGAAAGTGATCATAATTTATTATACCACACAGTTGTGAATGGTATTTATTTGGTCAAAATAACTTAAACACTGAGTATCAATCTAATGATAATACAGGTATATAAGCCAGAAAATATGTGTGTGTCTGTGGTAAGGGAGGGGTGGAAGCCAAATCTCCGTTTTCCACAGTAGAAAGCCGATAGACTTTAGGAAGTAGCTGTTTTAGAGAGATGGTGATCCATAAGAAAGGGGAGGGGCATTAATTAAAGCATTGGAAGTGGTTTTATCTAAGGAATGAGAAATGGGAGGGGATGGAATGGGGACTTCTATTAAATAATATAAAACCATTTTATTCTTGAAACGATGTGCATATTTACTTGTTATATAAATAACCAAATAAAAACAGTCATTTATCTTTTTTCTTCTGCTGTATGAAAAAAGGAGGGGGTAGGTAGAGTGAGCACCATTTCTCGCTGATAAGGGAGCTGGGGAGGTAAAGGGAAACTTTCTTGTTCCTTGAGTCTATCAACCCAGCAGAACTGTTGTCTTTTCATCTCCTTTTGAGGAAGGAAAAAATTACGTGCAATGGGCAATTCAGACTTACAAAATCTCTAAGAGCTGTTAGTGCCAAATTGGCCAGAAATCTGGGGCTGTCCTGAGAGTGTTTGGGTCCAAGGTAAATGCCAAGAAAAGCTTTTATCAAATTCTAAAATAAAGCCAGATTACATGAAAGGCATTATAACTAGCGCTAAAGTGTCAGTGGAATAAATTATTTTTAAAAATTTATTTTTAAATACACTTTTTAAAAATAATATGTTATTGAGTTTTTACAGAGAGGAAGAGAGAGAGATAGAGAGTTAGAAACATTGATGAGAGAGAAACATTGATCAGCTGCCTCTTGCACAACCCCTACTGGGGTTGTGCCCAAAACCAAGGAATATGCCCTTGACAGGAATCTAACCTGGGACCTTTCAGTCCGCATGCCAACGCTCTATCCGCTGGGCCAAACTGGTTTAGGCTTTAAATACACTTTTAAAGAAATGTATTTTTATTAATTTCAGAGCAAGAAGAGAGCAGGGAGAGACAGAAACATCAATAATGAAAGAGAATCATCGATCGGATGCCTCCCACATGTTCCCCATTGGGGATCAAGTCCGAAACCTGGGCATGTTCCCTGACCAGGATTCGAACTGTGACCTTCTGGTTCATGGGTCAACACCCAACCACAGAGCCATGCTAACTGGGCTGAAATCAATTCTTAATTGTGTCTGTTATAAATTTCTTAAAATTTTACTTTAAATGTCAGTTGCCTTAAAATCCAGAATTTAAAAATATGACTCTTTTGATTTTTTAAAAACATATGGAAATGGTTTGTACAAATCTCTTAATCTAAAATGTTTTTCAAGTTTAGTTGACATATACTGTTATATCAGTTTCAGGTATATAACATTGTGATTAGGCATTTATAAAACTTACAACATAATTACCCCAATAAGTCTAATACCCACCTGGCATGATACATAGTTATTATAGTATTATTGACAATTACACTGTACATCCATGACTATCTTTATAACTGGCAATTTGTACTTCTTAATCCTTTTCCCTTTTGCAGAGTTTTGATTAACCATATCTATCATTGAAATCACATTGTTTAGGTCTGTGGTCCAATTGAGACACAGGAGTCTGTTACCTTCTAATTGCAGGCAACATACCCATGGGAATGGGGCCTTCTGACAGCTATCTCAGTTCCACCTTCTCTTCCTGCCTTCAACCTCTAGCCACTAGATCCTTCTCCTCAGCCTAGAAAATGCTCAAAAATCCCCTCACCTACACTAAAAATAAATGAGAAATCCTCTTTTTAGCTAGCAACCCAACTTTCTCTTTTCCTTTGTCACAACACATCTGAAAAGAATCTATGCTAACTTCCTTCTCCACCTTCACTTCCTCACCACATGCTACTTCACCCTGTGCCATCTAGTTTCAACCCTGACCTGTTACCTCACAGGTCAAAGGATTTCTTACTTGATGAATCCCTTGGTCCTGCTTAGTCCTCATCCTCCTCAACCTAAGTCTTGACTTTCAAAAACCTCTCCTCAGGGTCTCTCTGAATCCCTCTCTACACACACACACACACACACACACACACACACACACACACTGATGTTTCTTTCACTTCCTAAGGAACCCAGCTCTTACTGTCTTAGGCCCTGTTCCCTCTACCTGAGACTGCCCCCCTCTCCCCCCCTCAACCCCCTCCATCAAGGCTGCTTCCAACTTGACTTTCAGGTCTTGGTTTACTATCACTTCCTCAGAGTGTCCCTCCCTCAGTGCCTCTCCTCTCCACCCCGACAAACTAAAATATCCCACTTGCCATCTTAGAAATTAGGTCTTTATCTTCACATTTTTTATACAGTTTATAATCATGGACTTTAGTTGTATGTTTATTTGCTTAAATATCTACCTTTCTTCTGGAGTGTGAGTTGCAGGAGACAGGAACCTTGTCAGTTTTCTTGACCATTGTGGATTCAGAGGTTTGGCACAGTCCCTGGAACAGTAGATGCAAATATTTGTTGAATGAGTGATTGACTGACTGACTGACTGAATGAATGAATGAATGAAGTGCTTTCTTCATGCCAAACCTTTACATATATCACCTTGTTTTTATTTTCACAACAACTCTATGAATGGGTACTGTTACCAGGGGAAAATGGAAGAATAGAGAACCTGAGTAGTAATACCCAAGATCGCCCCAAAAATATGAGCATGAGAGCTAGAATTTGAAAATGCATTTCTCCAACTCTATGTAGGACTACTTAATAATCATACCATAGTGCTTCATAGTTAACAATTCTACGTTCACCTTCCAAAACTTCCCCCGCTCTCTCATGTAGGTTTCTATGGTTGCTCTTGTATCTTCCCTCCAGGATCTCTTCCAAGCTAAATGAGGATATGTGAGTGGGGGGACCAGTCATGGAAGACAAAATGACTCTTGTTTTTATAAAAAGAATGCCATGGGGGTCTGGCCAGTATGCTCAGTGGTTAGAACATCATTCCATACTCCAAAAGGTTGTGGGTTTGATTCCCAGTCAGGACACATGCTGGGTTTTGGGTTTGATCCCCAAATGGGGCACATGCAGGAGGTGGCCACCAATCCATGTTTCCCTCTCACATTGATATTTCTCTCTCTCTCTCCTTCCCTCTAAAAGAAGAAGAAGAAGAAGAAGAAGAAGAAGAAGAAGAAGAAGAAGAAGAAGAAGAAGAAGAGGAAGAGGAAGAGGAAGAGGAAGAAGGAGAAGGAGAAGGAGAAGGGGAGGAAGGGGAGGAAGAGGAGGAAGAGGAGGAAGAGGAAGAAGAGGAAGAAGAGGAAGAAGAAGAAGGAGGAAGAGGAGGAGGAGGAGGAGGAGGAGGAGAAGGAGGAGGAGAATGCTGTGTGGAGATACAGAAATGCACAGGGGTGAAGATAAGGCATAGGCTGGAACGACACAACAGAAGCCAAGGAAAAACAAAGATTGCCAGAAAACCCCTAGAAGCTAGGGCCGAGGCCTGACATTCTCTCGCAGCCCTCAGCAGGAACCAACCCAGCCAACATCCTGATCTTAGACGTCCAGCTTCCAGGACCCTAAGACAATGTTTCTGTTGTTTAAGCCACTCAGTTTGTGGTGCATTGTTGTGCCTGCCTAGTGAACTAATAGAAGTAGTATAATCCCAAATCTATCTATGTCATGAATATCCTGCACCAGATTACCCAATTTGGAATGTGTCCCAAAACCCCACTCCCAACCCTCCCTCTCTCTCACACACACACAACTAAAAGGAAATAACAGTTTACAATTAAGTTAACAGTGGTTCTTTTGGGAGGGTGGATGATGGGTGATGTTGCTTTGTACTTTTTTTCTGCACTTCTGAGTATTTTCTGAATTCTCTTCCATTTCAAAAGTATTTTGTATGATTACAAAGACAAATTCTGGGCTCCAGCTTCCTCCACTGTAATTTCAGAAGAGCCATTCCAATCTTTCAGCATTCTTATAAGGAGTAAAGTGCCTGATACACAGTAGGTGAGCTAGTGTCCTTAGAGTTGGGAGAGCAGCTCCAACGAAGCAAAACTGGGCATTCATCGTTCAGAGGTCACTCAGTTCTTAAGTGAAGGCTTCCCCAGGGCTGCTAAGCAGGGAAGTGGCCTCTGCATGGTGAGGCTGAAGGTGGAGAGTGAGATGGCAGGAGGGAGCTGGCTAAGCACCTTGGGTTTGGGAAGGTCAGCAAAGATAAGCAAGAGGGGTTGGATTGAAAGGTTGGCTGGAGGAAGATTGGTGGAAGGAGGATGACTTAATCCATTTGAGGTAGGATGTCTTAGATTGGACTTAACCCATTTGGGCAACTGGAAGGGAAAGAGGGACCAAGATAAAGTAGAAGCAAATGATTCCCTCTAATATGAAGAATGCCCTCCCTCCTCATGTCTTCTCTAATCCCTTTGCCAAAACCTACATTTCCCCTTTCCTGTATATCTGCAAGATTATGTAGCAACATGGGAAAACATTTGTAATATAATGTTAATAGTAAAAAGAAGAGCATGTAAATTATGATTCTGACTATGTAAAAAATAAATGAACAAGCAGAAAATATACTCACATGCATACAAGGAAAATAAGCCCAGGAGACCACAAATCACATAATTAAGAATGGCTACGTTAGAGTACCAGGATTGTGGGGGGTTTTCTTGTTCTTATTTCCCTAAAATATTTTATTATAATGTAAAAATCTATAATAATAAAAACTTAATATACTAATTAGACTGATGTCCTTCTGGACAAAACCAGGGCTGCGAGGGAAGCCCAGGTCCCGGGTGCCAGAGAGAAGCTGGTGCCAGCATCCAGAGGAGGGAAGGCCTATTCTTGCATGAATTTCATGCATTGGGCCTCTAGTACTTATATAATTATGAAACAGACTTACTAAGATAAGGTAAGGGGCAGAATGAATAACAAAGTTTGATAAAATAAATACAACAGGAAAGCTAGTTGTAGAAAAGTTTTTATCTGACACTGAATATACATGGTTCTCAGTTCAGTATGTCTCTCATACTGACCACAGAATTCTTATGGAAGGCATTTAACCACTTTCCATCCTGTGTACTCTGAGAATCAAAAAGGAAGCAAAGGCACAAGATTTCAAATCTGTTGAGCATTTGAGAGGAGCTGGGGAGGGGAGAAGGGGCAGGAGTCCAGGCCCATTAGAGGTTTAGGGGTTGTAGAGAGACTGGGTAGATGTCTCTGAATCTGGGGGTTTCCGGGAAGTGTGTCAAGCATGACAAGGCGAGGCTCTGATACTGTTTATTTTTAGAAGTCCCGTTGAGAGGAAGATCTTTCACCTCTCACTAAGTTAGCTGTGCTCCTTGGAACCATGGACATCTTTCTGCTGTAGCAGCAGCAGGATCAAAGCACGTGTTTAGAAAGAGAAGTGAAAAACACCAGATGTGAGCAAAACCACAAGGGGAATTTCAGACAGGCAGTGTGCACCAGATTACCCAATTTGGAACGTGTCCCGAGCCCCAGGACAGGTGGACCCTCCAAGGATCAGGCTGGAGGAATGGAGGTTATTGATCCTGATTTAAGCCAAATGCTGCTAACTTGACCTGTGACCTTGCTCAAGCCATTGACCTCCTCCAGACCATTTTCACTGCCTGTAAAGTGAAAGGACTAGCTTGTCTCCTCAGAGAAATATAATGGAAACCATGCTAAACACTAGAGATAAGAGCGAGGCATGATCTTGAAGACTGTTTAGTAAATTGTGTTTGAGTACATAAATACCACAACATATACACACTTCCAATGTGTACATACAAACATTTTGTGGGAACGATATGTGTAAAAAAAAAAACCAACAACCTAAGGCTTAAAGACTGTGTCATACAGATCACAAAGCAAATCAATCCACAATGTAAATAATCTACATGTTGGCAACTGAAGGGGCTGTGACAGGATATGTTTTTCTGTCACTTACAGCTCTTTAGGTCTCCCAGGGTCATGAGAGCTAGACAAAAGCATATTACCTAGTGCATAGTTAGTACTGAATAAATGTTAGTAGAGAACAGAACTTCAGCTTGGAATTCCAGCTTTCTTTACCACTTACTTGTATGTGGCCCTGGGCAAATTACTCCATACTTTTGTGCCTTGGTGTCCTATTCTGTAAAGTAGGGATAATACTAATATCTACCTCAGAGACTTGCTGTGAAGAATATATGGAGTAATACAGGGTGTCCCCAAAAAATGTATACATGCTTAACAGCTCAATTGATGTTTCTTTCTTTTCAGATTTAACCCATTGGAATTAATAATTATTTAAAGCATATATACATTTTTTGGACACCCCTAGATATGTAAAGTACTAAGAAAAGTGCTGGGTGGATAATGTTAATTATTGTTATTTTCCCAAATCTTCAGTGAGGACTTTGAAGCTCTGCATTTCTTTCGTCTGTGTTCTCATCCAAATGTTTCCCGCATTCTTGCTCCATTCCAGAATATTTCCTGTCTGTCTTATTCATCTATGTAGGATACCACTCCTTCCAGACTTTAAACAAGCCCAACTCACACACATACCCACATACCAAAGCCATTAATCTATTCCCAGTCACACCAACTTTGAGTCAACATCTAGGTTGACCCCACTACCACACATCTATGAAGCATCACTAAATCCTCTCTTCTCCATCTGCTGGAATTCTTACATAGTGAGATGCCCTCTTAGCCAGAGGAGGTGTCCCACTAAAGATGAAAAAGTATGTTTTTCTCCTCTTTGGTAGAAGTTGTCAGTGATGGCAATCACGGCACAGAAAGGAGAATAACCTTGGAATCATCGAACGTGGCTGTCTTTGGGAGGAGGGGGCAAGGAGAGGAGTCACGGGTCTAGTGAAAAGCACCCCTTCCGCCCCTTTGGAGAGAAGTTGTCATTGGAGAAGAAGAGGGATGTGGTACTGGGTTTAAGAGGGAAGACTCTGGAATTCACCCGAGTTGTGTGGCCAGGAAGTGGCTGTATATGCAAATAGGAAAAAAGAAAAAATAATTGGATCAGTGGTAGTTGTGATATTTTTGACAATGAGGAGATGATGGAGACAAGACTGAGTGATTTAGGGAATCACTTTCCCTAATGTACCTATGTGAATGGAATCACTTTGGCCCCATGAACCAGCAGAGCGAGGACTCGGTCATCACAGCCCTTCCCTGGACCACTTGTTACAGTCCCTCCAGCACTAGCATCATTCCTTCCCAGGAGCACCTTGCCCTCCAGCCCCACCAAGTCTAATTGTGATTGTTGTTATCCTCCTTACATGATCACCTGCAAATCACTTAAACCATTTTTTTAATCCTTCCAACCTATTATCTTCTAGAATTGTTTTACTACACAATCATTGGAGTCCCGAAAGATGATTCAATTCCATAGGAATGACTGAGTCCCTATTGTACAAGACTGAATCCTAGGGAACACAAAGATGATTAAAACATGGTCACGGCTCTCAAGGAACTGATATATGTTTCCAGTAGATTTAAATTGCTA